GAGGGCTGCAGAAAAAGAGACAGGGAAGAAAATTAGAATATAAAGAGACATTTTTTGTGTAAACAACATTTTTAACTTCCCTTTCAGCCCCCCAGCCCCAAGGCAGGCCCACACTGCAGGGGGGTGATTGACAGGCAGGGACAAATAGAGGGAGAATCCGCCCATTTCAGGGAGGAAAAGGCTGGGAAGGACCAGGATTCCTTCCCATTTCATCTCCAGGGGATTCTGGGATTCTCCCTATTTGTCTTAATTAGAGGGTTAATCAAGAGGAGAGACCCCCCTCCCTCCCCCTGTAGACATTTCCTATGACCAAAGGACATGGGGCCAGGATGGGGGTTGAAGAAAAGGGGGGAGCCTGGGGTCACTTGGCCACAAATTCTGTGAATTCCCACAAGGAGAAGCGGGGTCAGGAAGAACAGCCTGTCAAGGTTCTGACTAGTGAACCCAAATGATTCTCCATGGAGAGCCAAGAAGGATCATCTGGGACTGGGGTGGGGAGGAACGGGTCCAGTTCACAGTGGAGTTTTGGAGGGAGTTCATGAAGGTAATAGGGTCATCATTCTCAAGGGCTTAGCTCCACCCTCCATCCGAGTACGGACGGAGCTGCAGAACGAGCTAACGCTATTATAGAACAATACCTGAGATGATGTGTTAATTATCAGCAATCTAGCTGGGAAGATCTGCCATTTGCTGAAGTGGCCCAAAATACCACAGTGCATATTAACATGGGACTCACCCCTTTTAAAATAGACACGGGGTGGAATTGTCCCCATGCCTGAATCCCCTCAGGAACCCCCCTCCACACTGAGCCTAAAAGAATGGATGAGTTGCTTACAAACTACTGGGGGAGGGGAGAAATGTAAACCTGGGATCCTCCTTCCCTTCCCTCCTTCCCTTCCCTTTTGCAATTTCCTAAAACTTGGAAAAATTCTGTGCAAGATTTTAGCGTTTCTGTGTACTTTTCTTTTTGACTGCAATATTTTTTCTGATCTCTGTAAGGAAAAGCTGCCCAAAATCCAAAAATTTGCTGTATCCACAGAAATTTAAAAAAAATTATTAAAAAAACACCTATAACTTGTAGGAGGGGCTCAGATGAGGGAGGAAGAGGAGAAACTCACCTGCAGGAGGTTGGATGACTGGAAGGAGAAAAAGAGCCAATTAGGATCCTTCATGGGCTGGAGGATTCAGGGGGTTCCCCTCCCCACTGGTAGCCCATAATAGGTTGGACGATCTTCCCTTATAGCCCCCTTGACGAACAGAAGTTCCCAAAACTATTCCTCAAGGAGTCCCTCTTGGCCACCTGCTGAGCTCGATGAGAGTCCTCCCCTAGATCGTCCCCTCCCCACAACCTCTCCTCCAGCCCCCCAGACTCACCTTTCTTGTTCTTCAGGTAGGAGAAGAGCCCCACAGCCAGGAAGGCCACTCCAATCACGGCCCCCATGATCCCTGTCCAGAGTTTGCTCCTGGCAGAGCTGGAGGAACGGGGCTCTGGGGAAGGAGAAGGAGCCTCACCTGAGCAGGAGGATCAGGCCCACCGTCCCCCAGGAGGGTCCATTCCGGCTCCCCCCATAGGGAGGTTCTCTCCCCCTTCTCAGGGCAGGAGGGGAGGGGCTTACCCCACTGGACGCTGATGGGGGCCTCCATGCTGACATGCCCCACCTGGCAAGTATAGACGTCCCCCCGCTGGGGCTGGGTCTCCAGCATCACCTGGAGCTGGTAGGTCCAGTCTCCATTCTGGAGCTCCTCCCCGAAGGCCACGCCCTCCTCTTCCAGCTTCCCGTTCTTCAGCCACTGGATCTCGATCTCCAGGGGGTAAAAGCCCGTGGCGGTGCAGAGGAGGATGGTGTTGGGGGAAGCGGGATCCATCTTGGTGGGGGAGATGGTGACGGTGGGCTTGGCTGGATGGAAGGAAGAGAAGGAGGCACATGAGAGGCACAGGAGGGCCCAAAACAGGAGACCAAGTTGGTTAGTTCAGGCCAGGATCCCTTTTCACTCCTGAAAATATTCTGTGTTTTGAGTCATCTTCCAAAGTAAATTGCAGCAAGAAATTAAAAGGGATCCTGAAAGAGGGAAAAAAGTGAAATCCTTCCTGATTGGGATCAGTTGCACTCTCCAAAAGGGAAGAATCCCCCAAATAGGCAAATC